TGAAATGCTTTACCATTTCTAGACTCGGGAAATTTTTCTTCCACTCTTTGTAGCATAATACTCAGTTCTACAGGCTGCCCACGTGCGGCTGAAGTACTTGCTGTACTTGAAGCTCTGATCGCTGGTATTTGTCGACCGCCTCGACCGGCTGTTTTGCAGCAGCGCATTGCGTAATAAGTTTTGCTGCTTAAAATGGCGTCTAAATGTAATTCACGACGATTAAACAAACTGAAAGTTCATCTCCAGAGTAAAATATAAATAGTAGAACCAAGGAGGCAAGACACCAAGAAACAGTTATGTTTATTTCAAAAGGGAAATGTTTAAAAATAAATTCGGTAAGTGTAGCATGTTCGTACCATCCATCGACATCTTCACCCGTAACATCGAGTGAACTCAGCTGTAACAGGTGTTACGGGTTACGGCCCTTAATGACAGCCCTGCGATTATACCAAACATTCTGTTTCTTCCATAATTATGTTAGATGCTAATGAAAGGTTGCAAATGTCTTGTTGCACCTATAATATTCATTCTTTTTCATTTTGTCTCAGGCCCAGAATAAAGAGCTAGATACAGATTATAACCGTCTTCGACAGCAGCACACTCGCCTTAGCTCAGAGCACAGTCAGTTGAATAGTGAACTAAAGAGAAATTTTCAGCTTTACAAAGAACAGAAGACCAATGAAATAGCATCACTTGATGGTAGGTAGATTTGCATCTTATTTTGTCACAAGTTTATGTGCAATAAATACCTGACATATCATTAGTTTCACATGTAGCTTTTCTTTTGTAGCTTTTATTTTCATCATTATCTGACATAATCCTGTTAAGTTCCCACCTTTTATAAGCATCCTTTGAATGTGTCTTTGTAAAAATATGATTTCCTCATATATCCCTTGTCCCCCAAAAGGTGTCAAATAGGGAACCTATTATTGTTACTATTGCATGTTTACAGGTTAATACCGCAGATAAAACAGTCCTTATAGAGTCTATATTCAGGCATACCTCTCAGATACCTACACTGTAGTTGTAGTTTGTTTTCAGATGTTTGTGATTGCTTCTCCAAATTGTTTAATTCAACAGTAAAACATGCTGTTCACACCCTAAGTAGAACTACCAGGCCTCAGACATTGTTTTTTTTTATGCAGAGGAAATCAAAACACTGAAACAACAGGTAGTCCAGCTAAGAACACATCTCAAATCTAAGGCAGATGAGGTTGAACAGCACAAGGTTTGTCTAGTATATATAACCCGTGCACAGATTGCATGTTATCTTCATGGACATTAATGCTTATATTTTAGGGAAATACACCCCCATTTTTTCTGTATACCCCTGCTACAAAGTCAGGTAATTCATGTTGCAATGTCACCCCAGGTCATAAATCAAGCATGTGGCTTAGGAAGAAACATAAGCAAATATAGGGCTTTGTACAGTTGCGCTAACTTCTCTGGCAGTTTACTCTCTTAAATGGTTGATGACCTCCTCTTTTCTTTTCATAGATCCTTTCCTTTACAGGTGGACCATTTGAGATTTTGAAGGGCTGGTGGGTGATTTGGTACAGGCATGCATTTTTTTTAACCCTTTTATGCACTAGAAATTTTGTTCTTGGGATGTGTGTATGCATGGTATTTTTTTTCTGCATATAACATGCTTTTCTTCGGCTCACTGAAGGTGTATTCATGAATGTTTTTTTCAGCAGTGGCCGTATGCATAAGTTTTCTTTTGGCGCAAGCATGCTTGCAAGATACCAGTATTTTTTTTAAATAACTCCCCTCTTCAAAAGTCCAATGGTCCACCCCTTACTGATTTTCTCCATTTCAACAAGAAACAGAGAAAAATCTGTATTATATGTGAGAAGTAACAAATATCTTGCCTTTTCTGTCCTCAGGTAACCAAAGTGTTCTTCAAATAATTCTTTTTCAAGGCCTATTCTACATGTACTTCAAGGAATGATATCAGCTGGAAATGGTTTCTTTAGTAGGCTTAGTTGTGTTGAAATGAGTACATTTATGTGATTTAAATGTTGGTATTGTAAACTAAGGTCATCTTAAATAACGAAAGCTTCTAAATAATGGTCTTCACTGTGCCATTGCCGGGAAGCAAGATAAGGGTGATTTTTTTACTGTAATTGTTTGTTTCTGTTAGTCTTCCAGCTCTCGGGCATCAGCAGTAAATCAGCAATACCAAGAAACAATCAGAACTCTGCAGGAACAACTTACATTCTATAAGGTAAGGCTAAAAGTATGAAAAACTGAATTCAAATCTGTGTAAAGAAGACTGGTGATTGCTAATGTTGGGCAAGGACTGTTGTGATGTGGTGTAAATTTGGTTTTGGTTTGGAATTTTTCAAAATAGTTTGCATTTTATTTTCCATTATGCAATAATCATTAGCCAGTGTGATCTTAAACAAAGGAAAATGGCAAGGAAAGCAAGCAGATATGTTAAACTTTTAGATAAAAATTAGGGTGAAACCACTTTGCAAGCAATTATCAGTAGAACAAATTGCAGCTTTATGTATGTGTTATATATGCAGGAACTATTCTCAACCTTTCTCTGCAAACCAAACATGAAATGACTTAAGGTTGCCGTATACCTTCAGAGATGTCTCGTGTCCAAGTGATGCAGCGTGTTCAGTTTAAACTGTAGAAACCTAAACCTCTATATTAAATTAAAGCTTATAGGGCAGGCTATCAAACTATACAACAATTTTTGAAATTTAATGATTTCTACAATTTTTCACGACCTCTAATTTCGACTGTCCGAATCACCTTTTGAAAGCTACAAGTCAAAGGAAATTTGTTCATCTGCCCTCAAATTTGAAAAGTAGCTAGTTTAAAATATAAACAACAAAAAAGTCTCTGCAAATTTTTTGATTCAAAATATTGTTTTTCTTCAAGAGCAAATTTTGTGTGATCGCTCCACATTTTGTTAATCCTATTTAGCAAATGCTTTCTAACTTTTTACTGCAATTGAATATGGCAAAAGGCAGGCACATTTTTGGGGGCTTTGGGTCTGGAAACTATGGAACAAAACTTTGTTTTTCGTTAATTTAAAAATTAACGAAAAAACAAAGTTCACTTTGACTTGTAGCTTTCAAAATGTGATTTGAATGCTCCCATTTAGAGGTCATGAAAAGTTCAATAATTCATTTTATTTCAAAATTCTTGGTATAGTTTGATAGCCAGCTTTAAAAGCTTTAATTTGATATGAGGGTTTAGGTATGTACAATTTAAACTGGACGTGTTACATTGCTTGGACGCGAGACACGTATGAAGGTATGTGGTAACCTTAATTTTGGGTGGCTTAGAGTATGTGAGCCATTATAAGTGGCTAATCATCTATGTTTCTATTGTTTTGTAACTGTGTGTTGTTAGTGATGAACCTGCCCAGTAAGCAGCCATTACACTATAAGTTGCCAATTATCAAAGGCTTGAAACAGTGGTCAGTGTCTACTTGTTTTTCAGAATTGAAAAGCCTATTAACTTTTTTCTTAGGAATACAAGAGCACATGAAGTGCTGTGGCATATCCCAGTTTATAAATTTGACCTTTTTTCGTTTTTTGATGATGTTCAGGAGAAGCTCAAAAAGGCGCAGCTCAATAGGGATCAAGCAATCAAAGGTGTAAAACAAGATGAGGGCAAAACAACCGCAAGCAGACGACAAGGTGATCAACGAGACCAAACAACCAATTAGCTTATGTCAAACTATCCTGTAATATCACATGGCATTACTTATGAGTATACTCCTGTGAAATTGACACCTGTAGTGATCAGGGTGCAATGAGAGGTGGTCGGCAGCTGGGTAACTATCTTCAGTATGGATACAACTTCCATCTATTATAGTTTGCCATCTTGTTGCATATCAGCATGGGTCCATTTTGCTGAAAATACCACATTGTGATGCCTTGTTACATTTCCTATGATTGTTTTAAGTGTATGAAAGAGACTTCTAGCATCATTGATGTTTTGTTCTTATATTGATATAGAATTTGGTGTACATACATTGTATGGAGAGAACAATTTGTAATGATGGGTTTACCAAGAGGGAACTTAGTTTGTAGGGTTATTGTTTGAAATAATCATTAAGTTATTGGAGCAACAGTTATTGTTAGAGTGAGCCAGGGTGAGCTTGTTTTTAAGTGAAGAGTGAAACCACAAGTCAATTGTGTAATGACTTCATTTGATTTTCTTAAAAAAGCTTTGTTCTTTGGTGACGATTGATTTGTAACTGTAGTAAGTGTTATTCAATTATACAGCTGGAAATTCGTTGGACTCCAATAAAGTGGGGGTTGATGACCAAGAAGAAAAGCAAAACTCACAGCAAGAAAAAGGACTGTATGTAATATTTCTTTGTAGATTTGTGCTGCATAGCTCTCAAATTAACTGATAAAAAATGTTGAAACAGTTTCAAGCACTTTGACCATGCATTTGGACCGTCTTTGTTTGGGACGTTCTCCATTACATGATTAGCGTGTATTACTTATCTTTGCTAAGCTAAATTTCGTCATGAAAAATTATTAAAAAATATTGTTTTGACTTGGGAAGCAGTTTTCAGGAGCTCCCTGTGACTTGCCTCTTTGTGATGTAACTGTGATTGATTCCATTATTACAGTCATCCAGGTGTTGGTAGAAGTGACAATAGGCATGCTGTAAAAGATACACCTCAGGAACGCTATCATGGCCAGCGATATGTACCCACCACTGCCTCAATAGTTACTGGTATGTATGGAGTTAATACGGAAATACTGTTACCATAATACTGCTTTGTAAAATTGTAATTAACCGAGCGGCCATGGACCATCCTGCTTCAAGTTCAATTGAGCTTTCCTCGTTTTTTAACCGTTTTTTTAATATTCTGTTCTTTAATTAATGTGAAATATATTTCTTTTCACCTTATTAAAGAGTTCGCCCGAAGCGAGAACTGAATGATTATGTTGCAAAAGACAAACTTGTCTGGACATTCACACAATATTTACGCGTCGCGCTCGCCTTACAACAGGTCATTTTATGATGATTTATGTGGAAATTCCCACAAACCACCTGCTAATAAATTATGGCTAATCTAACCCTTTGTCTCTTTGTGAAACACGCCTTTTGTTTTAACGAAAAACAGTGTAAACTTACCTTTCTTAACAAAAGGAGTTGTTTTTTAACCGTGGAGTTTTAAACATCAAGCTTTTCTTTTTTGCTCGGTGACTTGCTTCAAGTTTCCCGACTCTGGACTCTTCGGCTAGACTTACTTGTAGAATCACACAACTTTTGATGTTTTATTGCCAGGTGTAGGACGTTGGGTGTTATGCGGTGTATTACAGAACTTGCAATAGTGAATTGTTATTTTCCTTGTTCCAAAAGATTCTGATCAAGATGATAAGAGCAGACAAGCTGATGAGAATAATAACGGGAACAAACAAGATATTTATGACCATGGCTACTCAGATCAAAGACGTGACAGTGATTCAAACAGAGAAGAAAGCAAAAGAAATGAGAATTCACAGAGAGAAAACGAGCAAAGAAATGTTCCTTTGAGAGACAGCAGTGAAAATAGACGACTCGAGGACCGGGACACTGGAATCCAAGTTGTCTCACCAACTGAGAACAGTACAAGCAAGTGGGCAAATATTATTAAGGTAAACTTCTCTGATTATTCCGTTCTTTGACCATGCTATCTTGAATGTGTAATTGTTATTTATCTTTTCAGTCCTATATTGAAAAGGTGAAGGGTAATTGCGAAGAACAGTTCCCGAAAAAAACCTTTCGGTCGTCTGTCGTGTATTCGCGTCGCACGCTAGGAAAAGAAAAGACTGCTCGCAGTTTAATAACACGAGAAAGCATTGCACAAATCGCTATTTCACTTCATTCGTTTTCCTTGATAATATAACTGTATGAGAACACTTTATGAGAATTTCTCAAAGAATTTCATCTGTGTTCTAAAAGTTTCCAAAGATTGTTTTGATTTCCAATCAATTTCTGAATTGCTCCAAATCTTCGGAAGATTTCTACGATCTTTCAAATGCTTGCTCTAATTCTGAGGTTATTTCCGAAGTTTGTGGAACATTGGCTGATTTTTGACTTAGTTCTGTAGATATCAGTCCTGAGCAACTTAAGCCCTATATTCAAGTTGGTTCAATTAACTAAGCCTTTCAATGAAATACCGCGTGTATATTGGAAATCACAGTGCGAGCGCTAGGTCTTGGCTTTGGGCAGCTTATTTACCTTGATCGACTTTAATTTGATGATCTTACTGGATAACACCTCTACAGTGCAAAAAGTCCCCTCTCGTCCCTCCGACACTTTTAAGAGTTTTAGTGCAACATTCTTATTGTAGTCTTTGCGTTTCACAGGCCGCTCAGCAAGGTAATGCACCCGAGGAAGGAAGAAAAGAAGACCATGACAAAGGCGAAGAAGAACAAGGAGAAGAAGGGAATAGGGGTAAAAGAAGCAAGAGATCGGTTGATAACTACATGCAGGAGGTAACCGAGCCTTCTCGACTGCAGCAGAGAGACATGCAGAGCTACAACCAGAAACAACCTGGCGGGGAGGAGATGGGAATGGATAAATGGAATGATAGACCTCTGGCTCAGAGACCAGGAAACAGTGATGTCAGACTACAGGAACCGCAAGAACAGTATCAACGCAGGGATCCAGACAATCAACAGCGAGAGACCATCGACAAGGATGAAGAGGAGGATCATGATGAACAAGATAGTGACTTATCACGCAAGAATATCAACAAACAAATGGCTGAAATGCAAGAAAACTACAATGAAAAGCTAACAAAAGAACAACAACAAGAACAACAGGAAATGCAGATTCTTCCTCAGGAACAAAATAGTGATGCAAGAGGGAGGTCAGTGTACAAGCATGTGGCTCCTATACCTGCTGTGCAGAGACAAGACACTGCAGACCAGCAATCAGATGGTAGGTTATTTTGTCAGGAAGTATCCTCTTCTCTACGTGCTAGGTTGATCGTTGGTTAAGCCCTAGACGTGCTCGCAAGTGGAGCTGAGAAAGCCGAATTCGACTTGCGAGAAAAATGACGGGGACCCGGAGTCCGAAGTACGCGAAGAAGAGAAGCGCCTTTGAGAAGTATAGCCAAACAAACGCCAGGATCGTCTTGTCACCGCGTAGTAATCATTCTTGCAATATGTGGAGTAAAAGATACTGTCAGAAAAAATTAACATGATTTGGTCAATTATAACAGAGTTCGAGACAAACTTGGAAACGCCAGCTTCATGTTTCAAGTTTGTTCACGTATTGCCGCCATTACTCTTGTTCTACCAAGATTTCTTCGCAGCTGTGATATTGGTAGTTATGCAACACTTTGACATAGTATTGTATGATTATCTGTTGTACTCCCTTTTTATGAGTTCCTGTCATATAACTGACTAGTTTTGTTCTTAAAGCCAATCTATTATCAGTCTGTTTTTTTCCGCGACTGTTGAGTTGTTGTTGGTGATGTGACAACTGGCAAACCTTTTAGTAATGGTAGATAGCGGTGACGTGATCAGTTTGATGTTTTTCTTCTTTTCTAGCTGATAATGACGATGAAGATGCTGATACTGAACAAGACACTGAGGAAGATCCTGATGACGCTGATGAAGATGACATCTTGGAGCCTCGAGATTCACCACAAGAACAACAAGAACAACAACAACAGCAGCAGCGTCACCGGCTGCCTCCGCCAGATCTCAGGCCAGTGCAGGCTCAGAGACAGCCTCGTGAGGGAAGAACCTTTGACAGAGCATTGAAATCTGCTAATTCTAACATTAATTATAGACTAAACGAGTGATAAGAACCAGAAAATTAATTTATTTTTAGGAAGGGTTAAGTATTCCTTACCTAGGCACGCCCTCTATTGATCTAATAGTGACAGGAACGGCAAAAGAAAAATCCACAACACAATATCATCAATTTCACTTAAGGGGTTCGCCTCTGCTGATCTTGTAAGCCGGTGTTGACAGAAAAGAAAGATCGGTTTAATCCTTGTGGAATTCTAGAGTTTAACTTTTTGGAAAGACTATGCAAGTGTGTATATGTTAATCATCGTACAGGCACTTTCAGTATCTTGTTGTACAAGATGAGCAAAACATACTTTTAATAATGTGACCTGGACGTAAGTCATCTTCGCGAGTTTCTCCTTACAGTTTATCTTGCACGCCTCAGTAAACGCATTCGCGTTCAACTCAACCCCAACTAGGGATCTAACTACTGTATCATCGTACACGTGAAATATCCGTAAGAATTCACATACTGCTATGGCGTTTCCTTTGGAGGCCCAGTGCTGGACTCCGCATCAAGCGGGCCCTGGCCGGGGTCATAGCTTTCTGTTCTTGGGCATGACACTGGGGGAGTGGGGATGGGGAGGGAATGTAGAAATGGACCACTAAGCTCGAACTCAGAGTTTTACCTTACCTGCTGTATTGTGCAAAGGAAAATTACAGAAAGTGGTAAAATAGGAATTTTGACGGTATCCTGAGCTCTGAAATAGTTACCAATATTCTACAGGGATGGTGCGAACTTCATAGTTGTAAAATAGTAATGGTTGTTAGATAGAGCTTTCTGCCTTAAAGCGTTACTCTGCGATTCCTTAAAGGAGCGATGCGTGATGACAGAAAAGGCGAGATGTTTCAATAATCCTTTGACCATGGCTCATTAGATGTCCTTAGGAATAAAGAAATTACTGTTAGTTTACTCAACGCAACGGTTTGTAACGATAAACTCAAACGTGTCGATATATTTATTGCTAAGGAGAAGCTGGAATTAATACTGCGTGTTTAACATGTAGGTAGATTATAGCAAGTGTCTGGTTCGGTAATCGTACGAATCGGGGGTAGCTTTATTTCATAAATTAATACATTTAGTATAGTACCACCGAATTTATACTGAGATAGCGAGGTAATATGTAGTAAAGCGAGAATAAAGGCTTTTACCATTTTATTTCTAGCTGGAGTTTGTGGACGGAAAAAATTCAATCGCCGCGAAACAAGTGAGGGATGCAGCGCTGGTGCCGAAAGTTTTACCTTTACCTTGCTAAACACGAGTGCAGTAAATGTAGGCGAATCGTTATTATTCCCAAATACCAAGTACAATTCCTCACACTACAATGTCGCCATAGATGAGACCAGAAATGTACAAATGTAGCATTCAATCAAGTTATTTTAATTACATTTCATCAGAATCTTTCGAACGCCAAACGTTGAAATTTCTTTTACGGGATTAAATATTTTATTATATCTCTCACTTAGTACGCGCCCTGTGATTGTGCCAATTAAGGACGTTCGCGCGAAAATTTTCTACTCGATAGATTTTTTTAAACTTCTACTGCGGACAGATAATGATATACTTGTTTCAGAAATGAAATAAAAATTGGGGGTCACCGACCTCGTTTCAGAGATAAAGCGTGTGGAAAACTAGTCTGATTTTGATAAATTGGTGCGCGTAATTCAGCA